GGTCCCTCACTGGGTACAATGGTGGTGGCGGGGGTGAATCGGTTGAGGGATGGCGGTCCTGGTGGGTGCGAGGTAGGGGACTGCCACATGGAGGGGTCTGTGATCTGATGTCGGTCCAGTTGTTGGCGCTGTGTAGGCGGGCTGTCCATTATCGGGCTAAGATTTGTGTCTGCGGACTGTGGACTGTGTGTTTGCTTTGTCATCGATGGTTAGTCAGCTGTTTTGATGGGGAGGACGAAGGGGGGGTCATCCCACTGGTTGTGCTCCTCAAGAACACAGTCCTCAAGGAAGATCTGCATAAAGACAAGGACTTGTCTGAGTGACCACTCAGTGTTGGCCCTGAAGCGAGAGGAAGTGAGGCCCATGAGCCGACTGTGGTTAAACCATGTGAAGCCATTAGGGGTTTTCTGCAGCCTGACGTTGGGGTCAACCAGCAAGAAAACTGGGATGATTCCCTTAGGGAAAGTGAGTGATTTAGGGAACACCGCCCCTAGCACCCCTACAGTGGCCGTCTCCTGAAGCCAGCATTTCAACCTTTTTAAGATGACCGTTGTGGAGGGGCTTCCCCTCCATCCATCCATCGTGAGGCCATTAGGCCCGACGTCCCGAAGAGCTGGAGTATCCTGTTGTGGGGGCCGCAGGCCCAGCACCCACTCACCTCCTTCCCCCACCCTTGTCATTGGGAAGATGACCACTCCCGGCGGCAGAGCAACCGGTGTGCTGTCATCTTCTTCGAGTCACACCAGCTCCCTCATCTTTTTGGAGGGGGAAACAAGAGCGCGGTCATCATCAGCTAGGTGCGAGGAAGTGTTTACTTCGTCGTCTTCGTCATCTTGGATGATTTCCACAACAGTAAGCTGTCGGGTGGGAGCAGGGATCATCTTGTTTGTTGATCCCTCCAGCGGCTGGACATCGCCCCGAAGCGGTGGAGCGTTCAGTAAGGCAGGACGGGCGTGGTCATACGCGACCGGTGGAGTGTGCAAGGTTGCGCTAAGTTCATGCACAAGGGCCTTGGGCCAAGCCAGTCCTTCATGGAGGAGTCCGTCGTCGCGAGGGCCGGTCTGTGAGCCTCCCAGCCGGGCAGCGTTGTCATTGCTGCAGCTCCTGGCATAGCTGTTCATCTTATCCAAGAATTCATTAACCACCATAACTATGGCTGCCCCCACGTCCATCCAGTCTATAGCCGTGACGGTCTTGTATTTCTCCACTGTTGCAAGGACCCTCGGGCTATACATGAGCACTGTCTTCGCCTCCCCCCAATTTCTCGTTTTGAGTCCGTCTTCGTGTGACCTCTTCATTGGCCGACGGGGGCGGGGGTGGGGGGGCTGGCTCCTCAGACTGCGAAGAGGCCGGCGGGAGGATTTCCAGATGCATCGCCACCGGCATGGCTTGGTGGGATTGTTGGGATTGTGGTTGGTTCTCTGGTGCAGACGTATCCATCTCTTGGAGGGTGTTTCCGCCAGTTTGATTCTCCAACCCACCGCAGATCATGTGTTGGTTGTGGGGCTGCTGCAGCACCTGGGCTACTTGCTGAGCACCTTGTTGCTGCCAGAACATATGCAGATGTTCTTGTTTTTGTTGCAGCACTTGTTGCTGTTGGCAGCAGAGCTGCTGTTGCCATTGCACGTGCATTTGTTGGAAAAGCTGTTGTTGGTGTATCAGCCTCTGTTGGTGTTGCTGTTGGTAGTACTGTGCCATTTGGGCTTGCAAAAGAATGTGAAGCTGCTGTTCACATTCTTGGCGTTGCATGGCTTGTTGCTGTTGCTGATGGTGGAGTTCCTGGACCTGCAACTGCGCTTGGCACAACAGCTGTGTTTGGGCTTGGTGTTGAAAGCATAGCTGTTGGTGTTGGTGTTGGTGTTGTCGCTGATGCTGTTGTTCTTGCGCGTGCAGTTGTTGTTGTTTTTGGAGGTCAAGGCAGTGTTGGTGCTGCTGTTGCTCCCTTGGCATGTCGTGGCTTTGTTGGTGGACGTTACCGGCAATCATGTGTTGTGGTTGGTCTGCAGAGGACTGTTGGTATTCTGGTTCCATTCCGCAGCCCTGTTGCTCATCCTGGTTGTGTCGGGGTGGGTGTTGTCCCTCTTGTGATGGCAGGGGCTGGTGGTATTGCAATTCCTCCTCAAGGCAGCGGTATTGGCCTCAGTGCTGCTGGGCTTGTTGCTGGTCCTTCAGGCCCACGTGGTCCAGGTGGTGATCTTGGTAGGGCAGATGTAGCTGTGTGACCAGCTGCTGGTCATGGCCCAACAGCCCCTACTTTGCCTGGTCGAGGCAGCGATCCTGGCAACCCAGGAGTTGCTGTGTGACCTTCTCCCCCCACGCACCCTGCCTTCCAGGGGGGTCGTCCTGCGGGAGCTGGCAGGCCAGATCTTGCTGTTTCAGCAGTTGCTGATCTTGGCAGGCCAGATCTTGTTGTTTCGACAGTTGCTGCTCCTGTCCCACCAGCCCCTGCTTCTCTCCCGTGTGTGCGTGTTGATGCAGTTTGTCCTCCCCAAGGCAGTGGTGCTGGTCACAACTCAGCCCCTCCGGGGGGCCGTCCTGTGGGGGCGACGGATCCGTGCCCGAGGCAGTCAATGGTAGGAGGGCAGCTAGTACCGATCGGGGGCCAGGACAAACTGCTCCTTTGACCTTTTTAATAAGCGAGATAGCTGTGAGCCACCTGTGCTGCCGCGATGGCTGTTCGGCGGTCATTTTTGGCACAGTAGTAGTGGCCAGGGTGTCGGGTTGCTGTTGATCAATGTCTGAAGACCCTTGTGCTTTCCTATCCTTCTTTGCCACGGGTTCTGCATTGGTAGGTGGGGGCCGTGGCCCTGAGGGGGCAGAGGAGGGGAGTGGGAGCAGGGGGGGTTTAGGCGTGACGTTGGCCTTGGCCAACTCCCAAGATTTGAAGATAAGCCCACCACCGTTGGTGAGGCTACCTTCGTGGTGACCTTTTTGCCTCGACATGTACGCGACGTGTGGCCATAATTGCCACAGTTCATGCAAGTGCCCCTAGCAACTCGGTCCCTCCACACCTCGTAATCCAAACCAAGCTTTACCCAGAATGCAAATCAGAATTCCATGGCCATACTTGAAGCTAGTCAATTACATATACCGATTGTGTGTTTGATAGATTCAGATATTCCAAGCAAATTACAACAAAGAATTCATTATCCCATCCCTGTGAATGATGATTCTTTAGAGTTTATATATCTTGTTTGTCATTTAATTGCGGGTGTCCCTTTGTCTCCCTGACCCGTGGACCGTCCTACCTTCTTCTTCCCGGTACCCCTAGCCTTTTCTTTGATGGGTGCCACGACTCCACCATCTGAAGTCTCACTAGCCCCATCCTGCTCTGTCAACTCCCCAAGGTCTGGGAAATCGTCAATCTCAGTCGTTTGACCATCGTGGTCAATGAACATTAACTGACCCTTTTTCTTCCAATCTTGGGGTAGTCTCTTCCTACCATCATGAGATGCCTTATGAGCAGATCCCAGCTTTGCCTCTATATCCAAAGCTTTCTTACTAAAAGAAGCGAAGGTGTGCTGTTCGACATAGGCTTCATCGACCAGCTCGGTCCTCACCTCTCCAGGTAGGCACCTTAGGTAACCCGTCAGGAGAACCTGCTGGTCAAAGCGCACACCAGGTACCACGAGTAGTCGCTCTACGGTATCCGTGAGCTCTCTAACATCCTTGAACCTACGGGCACAAAGATTGTTGATAGCATCGGTGGCCTTTTGAGCCCCTTGCGGGTCATGCCACCTGTTATACACAGACCGTACGAACTCTTCCAATATCTGGGCCTGTGCCCAGGCATCGAAGTTTTGACCGTAGCCCTGCTGCTGCACTAAGCCATTCAACCAGCGGGCTGCTGACCCCTCTAAAAAGGAGGCAGCCACAACAACTTCTTGCTCTGGCCTCGTGAGCTTATGCCTCACATAAGTAGGCACAGTCCTCACCCAGGTGTCCAAGTCCTCTTCCTTCTTCCTATCACCAGAGAAGGGCTTGGGACTCATCAAAGGTATCTTAGGCATCACTACATAGGCTGCATGGGTCCAGGGGCTTGCTGTAGAGGCTGCATAGCCACTGAAACAGGCTGTTGCACACTAACTTGGGCCTGGCTTGATAGTGGAACTGTAGTTACCACTGTCGTGGATGGTACGACTGAGACTCTATGAACCGGACCACTAGTTGTTGCTAAACCACCTGGAGGGGGCATGCCAAACACAGGAGAGAAAGTTTGCCCTGTGTGTTGCGGCATCGATGAAGGACCCGCACCCGCAGGGGGAACTACAGCAAACTGCGGCTGCCTCACCGCTGTGCAAGGAGCCCGAAGTTCAGCCAGGATTTGTTTCTGGCCTGCTACCAATTCGACGAGCAATTCCTGCTGGACATTCTGCGCTTCTGCCACTGAGAGAAGAGCATTACGCAGCACACGGCCAGCAGGGTCTAATGCCGCCTCATCTACTCCTTCCAGCCTGCCTAGCTCCTGCATTCTACTCCCTAGCCGAGCCTTCCTAAGTATGGTTTTTCTTCTCCTCTCTGCTGCTTCGTCCAGCTGCCGCTGTAGCTCATCCTGAAGTTCTTCTGCTTGCCGGATTTCTAAATCCTCCGCTGACTCGCAAGCTAGCAGTCTGACTAGTGGAAACCTGAGAACCACTCTGACTGAATCCTGACGAAGTGGACTGTGTAGAGACTTGCGACATAGATGAGGTAGCCATGGTTTCTCCGGTACTAGCTGAGACTCTAGTCTTGGCACTATCCTCAGCTGCCCTCACTCTCCTTGCCGCTGCTCTCTCTCTAGCCTCTCTCCGCAATCTTCTCTCGTCTCCTGGACCTACGAGCAGTCCCGCGAGTTGTCCTACGGTCGTCCACTAGCAACTCCTCCTCACTAGTGCTTGCATCACTCATGAGCTACAGTGTGTGTGATCTAAAGTAGAATCCACACTGAATCCTACCTTAGCCTGACACACAACCGATTATGATACACAACTACTTACGGTCGTCCTGAACAGAAACAGCTAGGTGATATAGTTACAACTAATGCCAGGTCCTACATGATATATTAAATCTATTTTTAGATTACCCTGAAACAGATTGCAATACAGCAAAGATCTAATCTGTCTGTAGCTGTCTGTCAGTTGTTAGTCAAGTCTGTAACAACTAGATAATCAAAAATAAAAATAACATCTCCTGTTGGAGATGTATGCTTGATGGCAGATTGTCTGTTTATTGCCACTGCGAAACAGTTACTGAAGTATGCTTGATGGCAGATTGTTTGTTTATTGCCACTGCGAAACAGTTACCGGAATCCCCCTTCCCCCTGTATCCTTCTTGAGTGGTCACTTTGTGTCAACGTTCCTGAGCATCTGGTTGAGCAGTGTGTCTGAAGGTGTGCAATCCGGCCCACCCCTGTGCCCCAAGTCATTGCCGAACATGCCAGTCCATCCACTCTTATTTATCCTCGTACGGAACGAGCCTTACCACCGGGTTTGATCTGGCTGATCAGGAGGAATTTAAGGAGAGCCCCCATCTCCGTAGGAATTATTTAACGTCGCAGACAGGACGACGATCACAGCCAGAATCAACATCGAGTCCGCAGCCAGAAATATTTCTAGACGGTCTGGTAAGCAGCTCATTAAACCACCAGTACCCCCGAAGCACCTTTCCCGAACCATTCTTTTAGCAAGCCACCGAGCCGCTTTGTTTCGTGCGAGAGCAGCTAATGGACAGCAGACATACAATGGGGGACTGGTCGTTCAAAGCAGGCGACTGGTACTTGTATGCGGATCTTTTTTTTTTTTTTTCCGTCCTCTTTTCTTTTGTTTTTCCCTTAGTGGGCTAAGTGTGGCTGTGAATGTCAGACGAGCTCTCAACGGCGGCGTTGACGGGACCTCGTCAGCTCACCCAAAAAAAATAGCAGCAGATGGGACTGGTTCAGGCGCACGACTTCTATGTATCATTCCGTGTTCTAGGGGAAGATTCATTCCCATTTTGTTGGTCTACAAGCGTAGCCAACGGGAACTTGAAGGACACACGAATTGAGCCCCTAGGCCCTCTACCTGACACGTATCGTTTTTCTTCTTTTTTTTTTCCCAATTTAGTTTTTTTTTTTTTCTGGTTCAATTTGGATTCTCCATACCTCGTGCAGAAGCATGCTAATCTTCTTTGTATCTTTCTATGCCTTGGGGGGATATGCATTCAAAAGTCCAGCGGCCTCACTCCAAGACACGCCACATTCACACAAAAAAAAAAGTTGCAAGGCCAGGCCCCAGTCCCTCCTGATCTCGACGCCGCCATCCACGCCGTTGTCGGAGGCAGGTTGGCAGGTTGTTTCAGATTTCCCGTGCACAGCTGTTCTTTTCCTTTTTTTTTTTTTGGTGCTTGTGTCTTCTCTGGTCGCTCGTTTTCGTTTTCGAAACGGGCTACCACCCGCAGCAGTGTCGAGGCTCTACCGAGCCTCTACCAGGCCTGTTGACACCATGAATTCAGGAAGTGGAAAAACTTTGGCTGGGCGGGGTACTGGTGGTTTAAAGGCTGGCATGCCCTGCACGACCTCTATTGCGCAAGCAGCGGTACCATGGACTGGCTGCCCAAGCATGCGTGTACTAGTCCCAGCGGGTGGGCATGGTGACCGTGACCCGAGTGTTTCGTCCAGGGCCCTTCAGAGGCTTCGCCCGTCTCCCACCAGCTTGCTGCCCAGGAAGAATGTCGACTCTCAAGGTTGAGCGCTCGCGATACCTCACATCGAGAGGACTCTCAAGACAGAACTCACTTCCTCACGGTAAGAAGAGATGAAGAGGGTAGATAAGGAAGAGAGCAACGTACCTCATAAATGCTGCCCCCAACCACAGATTTCTCACCGGTAACCTGATGTGCAATTATGATGACCGGTCTTTGCCTCAGCACAACCAACAGCAGAATGCGCTTCCACCTTGGCTTAATATGCCACATCAGCGAGTTCTTATCATCCAGCATACGCCCCGTATGTCACCACATAGCTCCCTGGCGCGCCCACTCTACCCTGGGCCGCCCAATGTTCAACGCCAATGCCTTATCACTGCCCCACACCTCATGCGAAGCACCAATAGCTATTGCGAAGAACCAATGAAGCGCAATATGAACCAGCTCTGATACCAAATTGCAAGGAAAATAAGCAACAGCGAGATGACAATTCCAGTTCACACCATCACATTGAAAGCTAGATAGTCACACCGTGTCCAAAGAGCAGCATTGCACCAATAATACACCAATGGAGGTTCGTAGCACTGAAAACCGATGTTCATAGAGAGCATACTCTCTCCTCTCAACACAAGAGTCCAGTTCCTTCACTCTCACACTTGGCGCTCAGCGCCCAGCCTACTTCCTACACAGCTACTACAGACTACGAAATGACAATGCAACTGTTGACATCAGCGGCAACCCGAAGTACTTGAAGATGTCACCCATATGCAGACCATCGCCAATACAAGGTAAGTGCCCTCACATCATCATCATCATCATCCACACCTGTCCTCTCATACCCGAAGACCACCCCTGCGCCTCACTGTGTATCCAAGCCGAGCCCACTATGGAGGCTGGCTATGGCGCTGACCTCAGCAGCGCCCTGCACCCTCGCACGACCGCACGTGTGCAGCCTCTTGCTCCAATGCCGGCAGCCAGTCCACGAGCAATCGCGCCAGCAGCGCTGCCGCCAGCCAGCAAGTGACCCCCTGAGGCAGCCAGGGCCGAGCTCTTTCCTTTATGGAAAGAGTTGGCCTGCTTGCGCAGCCTGGCTGCACTGGCCTGGGCCAAGAACCTTCCGGAAGGCCCCAGGAGGCTGCCTGTGTACAGCAGCTACTGGGCTGCTGGGCCTCGTGTGGTTGGGGGCCCAACTGTCTCTGTATGAGGCTGCGAATCACGCCCAGGGCCTGCATTCCTTGGAAAGGCCCGGAGGGCCGTGGAAGTGTCTGTGTTGCTCGGCCTGTGCTTTTCTCAACCAACTGGCGCGTCGCAACTGCCTGTACCCCCAAATATGAAATTGACAGTCGTAGGCCTCTTGTGAAATGTTAGGCCCGCCTTCACTTAGGGCGGGCACCTCCGCCTTCACTTAGGGCGGGCAATGCTGCAAACAGGGCCCCTTGGGCCTACCGAGGACCCTGATCCTTGCAATTTATTCTTTTCTGAAAATCGAATCTCCATTCTATCTCGCAAATTTTTTTGAAAACTGAAATCTTGCGAAGCCTACCAGCATTTCGTTTTAGGCATATTAGGAGGTTGCCATATTCTCAGAAACTGGATTAGTTCTTTTCTGAAAATCGCACCTCTACTCTATTTCGCGAAAAAAAAAATTCAAGATCGCATTTTTGTGAAAGCCGAAACTTTGCGAAACCTGGCCTAGATCTCGCTCATAGTACTCTTCTGACATGCCTCACTCATAGCAGATCGACGGACGTACAAAAAAAAAAAAAGGGGGGGTCATCTTCTTCTTTTATTTTTTTATTTATTTAGTCTGTTGATTAGGACCGGGAGGAAAGTATAGTTGGGTCCCCTCCCACCCACCCCTTTGCATGCACTCCCGGGTTGGTACAGTGCCACGTCAACAACAGTGCCACGTTAGCAGTGCCACATCAGCAACAGTGCCACGTCAGCAGTGCCACATCAGCAACAGTGCCACGTCAGCAATACCACGTCAGCAACAGTGCCACAGTGCCACATCAGCAGTGCCCCACCACCCTGACGGGCTCAGCTCTGGGCATGCCAGGCCAACTGGCCAGTGAGTCCATTGCCGAGTACCGATAGCGTTTCGAAGCTCAGCTCGCACTAATCGAGGCTGAGGAACAGCGCCAGCTGGCAGCCGAGGCTGCCCGCCTACAAGCTGAAGCGGCGACAACAGCTGAAAAGCAGCGGCTTCAAGCCGAAGCCGAAGCAGATACCCAGGCACGCCGCAAGGAGGCCCAAGATTTGTTACAGCGGCATGAAGCCACCAGCATCGAAAAGCTCAGGTTTTGGCACTTTGAACCTTCCGAGGGGCACGACGACGCGACGCTGGAGGAGCAGCATAAGGAATTTTTGGCCAAGCTCATGACCCGGTTGGTTTACACCTGTAACCACCTGCAGTCGGAGCTGGCGAATCTTCGACGGGCGGTGTAGAACCACAAGGGTCTGCACGAGGATGCTACACGGGCACTTAATTCCCGTGTACAGGTATTGGAGCAATCTGCACCAAGACCAGACGTTGGCGAGTCCAGCAGCACACATTCTACCCGCCAATTGGAGGAACGAGTTGACCACGTAGTCGCAATGCTCGGCGACATTAGTACCTTCGCTGCACCAGCCACCATCAGCAAGCAGCTGGACACCTTGAAGACGGAGGTTCAGCAACTGCACCAGCTGCCTAACAAGGATGGCAACACCACGCAGCACTACAAGATGCCGACATTCCAAATCAAGAAGTTCGATGATTACACGCATCAAGACCCGGTCCTCTGGTGGGAGGGCTTTACGATGCAACTTCGGATTCTGTTCGTCCCCCCGCACTCGTACATTGGCGCGCTTTTCCTCAACTCAAAGGGCGGATGCCAGATCTGGCTGAGCCACCTGGCAACCGTCCACGGCGTCGACGTCGCAAATCTGGAAGATAAGATCTCTTGGGAAGAGTTAACACGGCTATGGAAGAAGCGGTTCATCGTGGACGACGCGCCAACACTCGCCATCAACCGCCTCTTTGCTATGAGGCAAGGCAACACGTCAACACGCGACTGGCTCACGGAATGGCAAAGATCGCGGCGACGCCCGATCTCGAATTGCCATTTTCGCATCTGCGTCGCGAGTTCTACAACCGGTCATGTGCCGCCTTGAGCCTTGCACTTGGTGATCGCGACCAATACGCAACCTTCGTTGACATCATCGACAAGGCAAGAGAGATCATCAAGACCAATAGGGCAGCTGCACACGAGAAATCAGCATGGCAGCCAACCTATGTGGAGAAAGGAAAATCTGGTCCGCGTCCTCAACATGTCGCTGCAGTCCAACCGGACAACATTGTGGAAGACCCGGCAGCCACCCAAGCATCACGTGAGGGAGATCAGGTGGCGGCTGTCCAACCGCGAAGCAACAACAACTCCCGAGGAAAAGGGAAGGCGAAAACCGCATCGCCGGCCGGAAACGGACAGCCAGTACCATGCGTCAAGTTTCACTTGACTGAGGCCGAATACAAGTGGCGAGGCCGATATGGCTGCTGCTATTGGTGCAACAGCACCAAGCACAAGACCTCCCAATGCCCGGATCAAGGCAAGGAGGATGTTCGGCCTCGCATCAACTCGGGAAACTGAGTTGCGCGGGAGGTGAGGCGACTCCACCTCTCACTCCGTCGGATTCGGCCGCCTTGCTAGCGGCCTCCTACACATCAGGGGAGGATGCGAATGTCGCAAGTCCTCGGTTCACTTACGAGGATTATGTTGTCCACTTGGTCCCACCGTTGGACCAACCACTCCACGTGCAACAATCCACCGCATGCACGGTTTCACCACCATCGGCAACCGATTCGGCAGCTTCGCCGCCANCACCATCGGCAACCGATTCGGCAGCTTCGCCGCCATCTATCGCCGGGGATTCGACAACATGGTCAAGACTTGAAGAGCTCGACCTATTGACGTTTGCGGACTTCCAATGGATGCCCCTTCCCCGGTCCGGTCGATTGTCGAAACCGCATTGCAACGTGCTGATGGCAGAATTGCGGGATTACTTACACACTGCAGTACCAGCTCCATTGATGGACGTCGGAGTAGAGGTTGTCGACCTTCACACCTACATTGCGAACATCGACCGTGAGTTCAGGACACAACGGTACGACGACATCGACGCACCATTGTTATATGTACGCATTCAGATCAGAGAGGCGACCTGCTGCGCTTTGATCGATTGCGTAGCATCTCGCAACTACATGAGCCAGGACTTTATGGTACGCGCCGGCCTTGGCCCACGCATCCGAAGGAAGTCCCAACCTACACAAGTCACGTTGGCAGACGGTCACACGCAAAGTCAATCGACCGGTGCATTGACGACGTCCCCGTGTACTTTGCCCCGCATGCAAGCGAGGCGGTGTCCTTCGATATTTTAAACACCAAATTCGACATGATCTTGGGCATGTCATGGCTGCAAAGCGAGGATCACCTGGTGAACTTCTACCACCGCACCGTTCACGTTCGTGATCGGAACGAGGTACTAGTCCCATGCACGGTGCCTCCTCCTCACCCTTCGATCAGCTGCCACGTGGTGTCCGCCGCAAGCATGCGGACTTCCATCATCAGAGACGACATCGAAGAGATGGGGGTGTGTTTTCTCCACGCCCTCCCGCCCCATGATGCTTCATCGACGGACTCATCTTCGGATCCACGCATCACCGAGCTTCTCGACGCCTACGGAGTAGTTCGGATCGGCCCATCCGCCACAAGATCATCCTCGAGGACGGGGCTGTACCTCCGCGTGGTTGCATCTACCGAATGAGAGAGGAAGAGTTAAGTGTGCTACGGGCACAACTCGACGACCTTCTGGAGAAAGGCTGGATTCGGCCTAGCTCATCGCCATACGGTGCTCATGTTATCTTCGTCCGAAAGAAGAACAAGGATTTGCGGTTGTGCATCGATTATCGCAAGCTCAACGCGCAAACGGTCAAGAAAGCCGGCCCTCTTTCGCGCATCGTCGATCTTCTCGAATGGCTGGGTGGCGACAAGTTCTTCTCCAAGCTCGACGTCAAGTCGGGATATCACCAACTCGAGATCCTGCAGGAGGACCGCTACAAGACCGCGTTTAAGACGCGATATGGGCATTTCGAATGGCTGGTTATGCCGTTTGGCCTTACGAATGCCCCAGCCACTTTCCAAGCGGCTATGACAACGGAGTTCCGACACATGCTAGATCGACTCGTACTTATCCACCTCGACGACATCCTGGTGTACAGCCGGAGTTTGAACGAGCGTGTGGAACACCTGTGCACCGTTTTGGAGCAGCTACGATAAGCCAAGTACAAAACCAACCGCGACAATTGCGAATTCGCGCGGCAGGAGCTGGAGTACTTGGGACATTATGTGACGCCGCAAGGCATCCGTCCGCTTGCAGACAAGTTCGAGGCCATCCGGGTATGGCTCGAGCCCACCAACACCACGGACGTTCGTTCATTCATGGGGTTGGCGGGCTACTATCAGCGATTCATCACCGGGTACTCAAGGATTGCTGCACCTATGACGAGATTACAATCGCCAAAGATGCCATTTGTATTCGATGACGACGCACACCGGTCATTCCAAGCACTCAAGACGGTCATGCTCATGGCACCCGTCCTTAGCATCTACGACCCCACAATGCCATCGAGAGTGACAACCGACACTTCCGGTTATGGCATTGGGACAATCTTGGAACAACACGACGGCGATGACTGGCACCCTGTGGAGTATTTCAGCCACAAAGTGCCTCCCATCAATTCGCTTGATGATGCAAGGAAGGAGCTGCTCGCATTCGTGATGGCTCTCAAGCGATGGCGGCACTTCCTTCTTGGGCGTCGTAGGTTCACATGGGTCACGGACAACAACCCATTGACCTACTACAAGACGCGGGATACGGTGAGCTGCACGATCGGACGATGGATGTACTTCATCGACCAATTTGACTTCACATCGAAACATCTCCCCGGCCTCTCCAATCGCGCAACAGATGCACTCTCGCGAAGACCCAATCTTTGCGCTATGACACATCATGCCTTCACATTCGACGAGGAACTCCAGCGACACTTCATCCGGGGCTATGAGTCTGATCCGGACTTCGCCACGTTGTATGCGCAGTTATCTTCGGATCACCCGCCAGCCAGCCACTATCGCATTTTCGACGGGTACTTGCTCCTTGACTCACGGGGCAAGGACTTACTATGTGTCCCATGAGATCGTCGTCTTCGGACTCGCCTTCTCGACGAGTATCATGATTTGCAACTCGCCGGCCATTTCGGAGTCAACCGCACTATTGCACGACTTCGACAACGATTCCGATGGCCCGACCTCATTACCGATGTCACTCGGTATTGCGACTCTTGCGAAGTTTGTCGACGAAGTAAGCCCCTCAAATACAACCCCTACGGCGAGTTGCGCTCGATGCCTATCCCACGGGAACCCGGCCTCTCCATTGCCATGGATGTCACCGGACTATTTCCCCGCGATCGCCTCGGGCACAACGACATCCTCACGGTCGTGGACCGTTTGAGTAAGTACGCGCGTTTTCTCCCTTGCAAGTACTACTCCATGGCTCCTACTCCATGGCTCCCTAGCTGGCACGCCTCTTGCACACCGGCTGGATTTGCGGCCACGATGTACCGGAAGACATAGTCAGCAACCTCGACACTCGCTTCATGTCGGCATTTTGGACTGCCCTCGTGCAGGAGTCCGGCACGAAGATGAAACCAAGTTCGGCTCGGCATCCACAGACGGACGGGCAAACGGAGCGGGCACATCAAACCGCTCAAATGATGCTTCGTACGCTCATCCGTCCGGACCAGAAAGATTGGGTTGACCGCCTCCCCGACATCGAGTTCGCCTACAACACTTCGGTGTACCCGGCGATCAGCGTGACTCCATTCGAGTTGCACCACGGTGGACGGAAAGGCCGTATCTTCGCCGACCTTCTCCTCCCATGACCAGCCGACATCGACGCCGCTTGCTCTCCCGCTTCCGTCAGGAAGTACAGGGAAGTGCTGGCTCAAGCCCGCGCAAACATGCAAAAGTCTTAAGTCCGCATGCAGCAGCAAGCCAACAGGCGCCGCGTGCCATGTCCTATCCGCGCAGGTGATCTGGTTTGGGTCTCCGCGGAAGAGTTCGCACTGGAACAGGATGTTTCACACAAACTGCTTCCCAAGTGGTTTGGACCATGGCCCGTAACATCAGTCGTTGGCGATGAGCCCAATGGCCCTTCATTTGTGATCAGCATCCCCCCGCATCTGACGGTCCTTCCAGTCTTTCACGCCTCGAAGCTGGCGACATACACACCAGCTAAGAGCGACGACTTCCCGGGCCGACGATCGCAGGACCCTCCTTCTATGGATGGTCATCAGGAAGTTGACCGGGTCATCACAGATCGCAAGTACGGCACCAAGCCTCGACAGTACAAGGTTACATTCAAATCATGCGATCGCAACGACACTCGGTGGATTTCAGGAGCAGATTTGAAAGCATCCGCACCACTGATCTACGCTCATTACGAGAAGCAAAGGTTAGCTCAGGGAACTTCACGGCATGCCCCTCCCACCCGTACTGTGGTCCCTCCCTCAGACAACAGCTTCGCCAAGGAGGGGGGGGGGTGGCATACTGCGTAGCCACACGCCCGTCCCGCATTCTCAGCCTAAAAGCCTAGAAATAAGGGCTTACAGGCCCCGTGTTGTTTCAGCTTGAAAGACTGAAAACGAGGGCCTGCAGGCCCTATGTCGTTTCAGCCTAAAACAGGGCTTTTCCGCCCCGAGGCTTTTCAGCCCTGAGGCTTTTCAGCCTGAAACGGAGGGCCATTTTTGGCCCTCATAAAATCGACCTGCCCTAATAGTCAGGCACCAAACCAAGGTTTCAGGAACAGGCTATTTCTGGCCTGTTCCCCACGACAGCCTGAGCAGGAGCTGCAGCGCCAGCCCCTAGTTCGCCCTGCCATTGGCAAGAGCAGCCTCCTGGACTGCCTCGCCCTGCAGCTGCAGGCAGTCAGGAGGCAGGCCGAGTAGTACATAGGGAGTTCCCATGCACTTCACGGGTAGGTAGTCAGTCAGAGGTCGAGGCAGTAGTAGTCTTCAGGATTCGGCAGCAGCACTCTTGAGGAGCGTTGCAGTGGCACTTGTAGTCGTAGCAGTAGTTTTCAGCGTTGGGTGCTAGTAGAGGTAGAGGAGGTGAGAGAGAGAGATGGTTGGCGGAGGTCAGGGAGACTTACCTGTGGCGCCATAGCTCCAGCTTCATCTTCAAGGTACCTGCATCAAGGCGCCAACTTCACAGGTTAGTACCGGACAAAGGGAGAGAGAGAGAGAGAGTTCTTCTTCGTCCTCTTCTAAGTCCACCATCTCTTCTTCACCCTCTCACTACCTGACTTCTCAGTATCCGAGAACTACGACACAGAGAGAGAGAGTTGTGACTTGAGACTTGACGACATTGGATACAGACTCGACATTGGGATTCAGACATTTGACGAGGCACTATTTGGGCCTGTGCCGAAGACTTGGTGTTGACGACATTCCCATCTTCCCCTCTTCTTCGTCTAACCCCCCTCTTCTTCGACTGTGTATGGTTGGGGACTGGCGCATTCTTCTTGTGTGAGCGCCAGGCCCCTTCACACCATGGAGTGATAATGATGAGGTATGTTCGGGACTGCATTGCAATATTGATTGTTTGGATCATTGGTATCTAAGTCTTCCGCTACGCTATCATTTGTACTTTGGCTCACCAGTCCTGTTTGTCCCAAAGAAAGGGGGAACACTAAGGATGTGAATTGACTATAGAGGCCTCAATGCCATCACCGTTAAGAACGCAGAGCCTCTACCCCGCATTGACGACCTATCGGATAGGGTGCAGGGGTGTAAGTACTAGAGAAAGATAGACTTAAAATCCGGCTACCATCAGATTGCCATAAGACCAGAGGACCAACACAAAATCGCATTTCAGACCAGGTACGGTCTGTACAAGTTTGTGGTGATGCCCTTTGTCCTTTGCAATGTGCCGGGTACATTCCAGCACGCCATGAATAGGATCTTCCATGACTACTTAAATAAGTTCGTTGTCGTGTACCTCGACGACATACTTATCTTTAGTAGAACTGTCGAGGAGCATGCTCAACATGTAGACAAAGTATGTTCACTCCTCTGGCAGCACAAGTATAAGATAAACTTAGAGAAATGCGAGTTCGGTCGCACTCGAATATTGTACTTGGGGCATGGAGTATCCGCGGATGGAATTAGACCCGAAGATGCAAAGGGGGCTAGCATACGTGACTGGCCACGACCCCAGTCTGTGACTAAGGTCAAATCATTCTTGGGAATGTATGGTTATTACCGCAATTTCGTTAAGAATTATAACACGATCGCATCTCCCTTGACTGATCTAACTCGACTTGATACACCATGGGACTGGACCGACGAGTGTGAGGCAGCTTTCAAGCGTTTGAAGCATGCTCTCACACATCATGAGGTTCTCATGGTACCCGACCCGCGAAGGCCTCATTGTAGCCACTGACTCAAGCCAATACGGCATTGGCGCAGTGCTGGCTCAGCAGGAAGGGAAAAAGTCGAGGCTGGTCCAGTACATGAGCAAAAAGATGCCATCAAAGAAGTTGGCAAAGTCCACCTACGAAAGGGAACTCTATGCTCTCTGCAAAGCACTTGTCCACTGGAGGCACTATCTGTTAGGAAGGTTCTTCTATTTGAGAACTGACCATCAAATCCTCAAGTGGATCAAGACTCGACCAGTTCTCTCCGATGCAGTCAAACGTTGGATTCAAGTCACAGATCAGTATGACTTCAAACTAGACTATGTGAAGGGAGAGTACAACAAGCTTGCAAATGCGTTGTCTAGAAGGGCGGACTACGAGTTTGGCTTATCTGACGACTTGACTCGATCTTTGGGGGAAGCCTACAAGGAAGATCCCATCACGATGGACATCATCAACAAACTTCAGGCCAAAGACAAGGCCACCACTGACGAGTTTGTGATGGTGGATGGGTTACTCTTTCTTGAAAAGGCAGGATTTAAAAGGTTAGTTGTTCCATCTAGGGAGATTTTGCGTAGTTTGTTTTTAGGCGAGTGTCACGACGCAACGGGACATTTCGGCTACAACGGTTTTGGTGGCCTAACATGCTGGACGATGCGAAAAATACGTACAGACCTGTCAGGTTTGTCAGTGGGATAAGCCGCGAACTCAAGCTCCGCATGGGTTACTCAAGCCTCTACCTATTCCTGCTGGCCCAGGGCAGAGTATCTCTATGGACTTCATGGATACTCTCGTGACCAGCAATGGCAAAAGGCATATCTTCGTCATAGCAGATAGGTTTACCAAGTATGCTAGACTAATTGCCATGCCAGAGACTGCTAGGACTGACCACGTCGTCAAGTTGTTCATGGCCAAATGGGTGCGTGACTTTGGACTGCCAAAGTCCATTGTTAGTGATAGAGATGTCCGGTTTACCAGTGAGATGTGGAAGAAGGCCGCTGAACACATGGGCAGCCAGCTTCAGACGACTTCCGAAAATCATCCCGAAGCCAATGGGCAGGCTGAACAGATAAACCGAGTGGTGCAGCATCTGCTGAGGCATTATATCAAGCCCAGCCAGGATGATTGGGATGAGAAATTACCTCTCATCGCCAGTCTGTACATCAATGTTGTACATAGCACCACCGGCGTCAATCCGAATCAGCTGCATCTGGGATGGAAGCCTAGATCTGGTCTAGACTTCCTCCTGCCTGAAAACCGAACTGCTGCAACTCCTGGAACCATTGAATTTGGTGTCCAGTTTGAGAAATTGTTGCAGCTGGCTGTCGAACACCAAGAAATCTCAGCAAGCCATGATTGCTTCTGAGAACAAGCGTCGCCGACAGTCTACATTTCAGGTAGGGGAACATGTCCGGGTCAAGGCTAGCGAGTTGGGACAGGAGTTTGGCATCTCGAGGAAGCTAATGCCACAGTATTTTGGTCCCTGGGAAGTCTTATATTTGTGGGGAATGATTTGGATGGTCCCTCGTACGTCATTCGTATCCCTGGTCACCTACGCACTTACCCTGTTTTTCACGCCTCCAAGCTTGCACCTTTCGCTGAGACAGCACAGTTCCCATCATGGAGATCTATGCTGCCCCCAACCATGGGTGGCCACATAGACGTCGACAACATTCTGGATCACAGAGAGATGCCTGTTCCCAAGCCACCTGGCAGGGGAAGACCTCCTAAACCTGCAAGGGAGTACAGAGTACATTTCAGGCATCATACTGATCCGAAGGAAGAACGATGGATTTCAAGAGAGGAACTTGTCAAGACAGCTCCTCAGATCGTGGCAGATTATAAGAAGCTGAAGGGGAAGGCACCAGCATGAAACATCTCAGCGGACTTTCGAAGCTAAGGGGGACGGAATGTGAGGAACGAGCCCTCAAGGGGCTCTATCAGACATCACATGATCTGAGCTAAGGCCCCCAGCAAGCCAAGTGCCCGTCCTAAGTGAAGGCGGGCCTGGATATTCATCAGAGGCAAAATTCAACATTTCCATGTGTGGGTTTTTATGCTCTTACAGCACGCCAGTTGGTTGGGTAGACACGTGAGCCTCAGTTGCGCCTGGGCACATGCACAGAAAGCAGGGCCGATACATTAAGAAGCAGACCGTCGGCCTTGACAAAAGTAGTACTGCTGACACATCTGCCTGGGTGCCCTGCACAGATGCAGCAAACAGCCCAAGTCCGGAGACTCAGGCCGTGCCCAACTGTAAAGGACCCAGGCCCTCAACTGTAGTCTCAGGCCTGGGCACAGGGTCTGAGGCCCAATCGGAGGCTACTGGAAGCTTCCAGCCAGGCCACACGCAGCATCCAGGAGGCTGCCACTTCCACAAAAGGAGGAAGGCAGCATAGGCCAGGCATTCTGGCCAGTGCTGGCCATGCGGAAGTGCTGCTGCGCTCTCGCTTGATGCTGCGCTGCTGCCAAGGGCACTGACGGGGCGCGTAGTGGTGAAGTTGGGCGCTGCAGGGCAGCAGGGCGCAGGCGGCCATAGCCGGGCTGCTGGGCGCCAGGGGGTAATGCGGGCGATCGAGTGGTCTTCAGGGAAGGAGGCTAGTGAGGGGTAATCAAGATCTGATTGAGGGTGACGAGATACGTACCTGGTGCATGAAGAGAGGTCGGCTATGGAGTTGACAGTCATGTACATTGGTCTTCGAGAGTTGAAGTGAGCCTGTTGCATGAACCAGCTGTAGGTAGGATAGTGGGGCAGAGTAGGTTGGGCGCTGGGCGCCAGACAGAGAGGAGCGACTTTGGATTCTGTGTTGGTGTGGCCTACGGATTTGAACATTGGCTCAATACTTCATTGTATTGCTCTATATGGATGGTTTCTCGGTGCTTTGTGTAGTGTCTGCTGGGATACGACTACCTCGACATCTGTGTGATTTCGCAACATTGGTTTTCTTTATATCATTCACACTCGTATTCCTTCCATATCGTTACCATTCATAGTCCTCGCAAAATGTTGAAAACCCAACTGATTGATCAGGCGTGCAACACTCGAAGGATGACCAAATCCGGATTATCCAAGAGAAAAGAAACAGTGCAATTTGTTGATATACTAACACGAAATCCCCCCCCCCCCAAAAAAAAAAACGAATTTACGCTGAAAACTCTGAAGAGAGAAAAAAATTCGGAATTTCCAAAAAGAAGAAAATTCGAGATTTTACAGCAAGCAGAGTTGCGATTCAGGTCGGAATAGTCCAGATTCACCCTGGCCGCTCCGATACCAACTGATGCACGCTCGTAAACAAGATGAGCAATGCAAAGGAGCAAAAGGACCAGTGAAGTGATGATGAGGACTCAGACATACACTATGAGATCAATGACATACATTATGATATCAAAGAGACAATGCATATCCATATAATCATAAAAAGATACAACGTAGCACAACGAAAGACTCAACACACGACCTGACTCAGTGGACAGATCCGACTCGTACCATAAATCGCATTTTCCAGTGGGACTGTACACTAACTGTGTTTGCTGTTTCCTTGTTTTGGACCTTGCGGGACTTGATCCCGTGACCTGTAATTTGTTTGTTTGGTTTGTTAGCTTCGAGGCTTACTGGGCTTGATCCTTAGACCTGTAGCTAGTAGTCTCTATTTGGCAGTCTTAGACCCTTGCGCTTTGCTGTTTAGTGTTTAGGCATACCAGCCTTGTTTTTTTGTCCTTTCCTGCCCTTCTGGAAACTGGTAGGCCCATAGGTCTTTCTTTTGTGTGTCCTAGCCTCGGGTCCCCTTAGTCTAGGTTTCCTTTTGGCCATAGATGTTTGCTGTTTGGACGGTCAGATAGGTCTGTAGGTGGCTGCTGTGTTGTAAGTCTAGGGAAGTCGGGTAGCAGTAGTCAGAGGCCGACGAGTTTGGGGTTCTTTTTGTTGCTTTTTTTCACGGTCTTGGTGGAGTTCGTGTTGCTTCCCTGCTGCGCTATTGTGGGCATGCATGCAGGGCATCTTCTCCACATGCTCCTGGCGGCCATAGCTGGGGCTGGCCAGCTCCATTGGTGACAGCTCTGGGCTCGGCTTCCAAATGCTGGTGAGCGCTTCCTCACATTCATGTGCTTGTTGGGGTTAAGGCAGCTGCCACCGAAGCAGCTTTTGCACATCTTCTTCAAAGTGGCAGGCCTTCATCTTCATTGAGTTGGTGTTCTTCTTCTTCGTCTTGGGAGCTGCGCTCCCCTACTGAGAGGACACATAATCTGCAGATGGGCTTCGTGAGTGGTGCAGAATGACGTGTTGGATTCAGGAGGGTGTGTGGCGTTTGCAGGCTTGTCTGGTTGGGCGCTGGAAGTGGAAGTGGCGCCATAGCTAGAGCTTGTGGAAGAGGGAGGAAGAAGAAGACTCCTGGATATGTCGATGAAACTTTGAATGTAATTGGTTCGTGGGTGTTGATAATGTGGTTGGGATTCTCGTAATTCGTGTTATTGATTGAACTGGATAGAGAGACGGGATAATAAGAACTGAATTAAATTCAATTCTATGAAACCACCAGTACTTGGCCCAGCTATCGATTGCGGAAAAGAAAAGGGCAGAAACATTTCTAGTCGGATGAATTTGGGTGCTCCTGTAGTAGCCCGGAATTTTCCTAAAATCGTGGCGCGTTAACGGGCACGACTCGAGGAAGTACTGGTGGTTTAATGGTTTTGAGTGCTTCCGCTGTGTAACATCACCACTGGTTTGGTGTGAATTTCTCTCCAAGTCCACTTGCCCCCTGCATGTGTATGGGAACGTGTGAATGGCATGCTGGATTTCGTTTTCAATCAGGCACGAATCTGATCTCTCTCAGTTGTTTTGAGAGGCTGAGCCCGATGTTGTTGTCGCGTGGGCAGATAAGAGGCTCTCTCCTGGAGGAAATTGATGGATGGTTGACTGTGTTCGAGGTACACGCAATCGGGCAATGCAATTCTGTTTTCGTCATCATTTATTGTTATTCCGTTTTCTTCATCATTTATTGTTAATTATGTTGTTGGGTTGGCTCAATGGGGTGCCCTTGGGTTTGTGGACCTTTGTCCCAGCTGGTGGACACCTGCTACAGGAGGTGCCAATGTGCCAGCCCTGAATGACCTTCTGAAACCGTATGGCATTGCATTCGGTGACACAGTCCTCAATGGCAGGGTACGTTGTCTGCTTCTGCCGTCCTTTCTCCACTCACCTCCTGGCCTTGAGGTGTTATGACCCTGGCCAATTTCGAGTTACACATCCATCGGAAAGTTCAATGCCATCCAATTGCAGAAAGAAATGAATGAACTTGAGAGGAGAGAGAGAGGATTAGAAGAAGAAGAAGAAGAAGTAAAAAAGAAGAAGAAGATGATGTACACCAGCAAAAACAGATGATAAGGCTCTTCTTCTTCGCCCAACAATCTCCTCCTCCTTATCTCCCCCTTCTCTTATTCATACAAGAAATAATAATACAATGTTGAATGACTGATCCAGAATCAATGTCCGAGTCCCTCTTCTACTGCAGGTATCACTTGAGGTCCACCATAGCCATTGCCGCCTCCTGACTCTTCACTCTCATAGGCCGAGGCTATGGCGGACTACTAGGCCTTGCCCAGATGCCCAGATGCCCAAAGGACAACCCACAGCAGCTATGGCTGCTCTAGCTCAGGCCGCCATGCCCAACCCTGCCTTGAAGCTTCTTGGTGTGGCTCCCCCCAGTTGGGGACTCCTTGCTGCAACGCCCACCAAGGTGATGAAGATGGCTGCCACCATAGCCAGGTAAGTACCCCTGGCGCTCCTCCCCCTTCCTTCCTTCTTCCTCCCTCGTGTCCTTCTCCTTCCTCCCCAGCAGCGCTGCTCCAGCATAGCGCTGCTCCAGCCAGCGCTCCACCAGTGTGTCGCCAAACTTGCACACTGAAAAAGAGGCCGGACTCTCCGCCCGGCCCGAAGATATAGCGGCCTGCTTTGCCTCTTGGGCGGTGACTTCCAGGCCGCTTGGCCTCCCAAGCAACCGGTACCACCTCCTTTTTGGAGGGAAACATCATTGCAGACTCCGATATTGCCCGTACAGGCCCTAGACTCAGACTGGTATCCGCCTAGACCTAGCCTACACTACGGGGCCTCTAAAAATGCCACTTTTGTCTTCTTCTGATCGGCCTCCTGTACCTGCACATCTACCCCTTCCAGGTGCGGTACCGGCCTACCCGCTACTTGAGTGCTTTTCCCCACTGCAACCCCTCAATGTCACGGCCACAGGCAAGTACCGGCCCTGAGGGCCCAACGAGCAAGTGCCCTGACGGGCCACACACATACTCATGCCAACCAACACTCAGACAGGCATGGTCACACACACACACTCAAGCCAACCAGCACTCAGACAGACATGCAGTCCAGCAAGCGTGCACACACAGACTTAGTAGCAGGCGGGAAACTCAGCAAGGCATTCAGTCTATGAGCAAAACTCAGAAATCAGCTGTGTGTTTCAGTACATGTTTGGACGGGTCATCACAGAGGTGTCTTTTACCAGTCCTGCACTGTACTATGCATGGATTATGTTGAGTTGATTGGTGTTATGCCATCTTTAGGACAGGTTACTCGTGCAGAAAAAATGGGTGCAAGGAAAATAAGCAACAGCGAGATGACAATTCCAGATCACACCATCACATTGAAAGCCAGATAGTCACACCGTGTCCAGAGAGCAGCATTGCACCAATAATACACCAATGGAGGTTCGTAGCACTGAAAACCAATGTTCATGGAGAGCATACTCTCTCCTCTCAAGTCCAGTTCCTTCACACTCTCACTTGGCACTCAGCGCCCAGCCTACTCCTGCACAGCTACTACAGACTACGAAATGACAATGCAACTGTTGACATCAGCGGCAGCCCGAAGTACTTGAAGATGTCGCCCATACAGACCATCGCCAATACAAGGTATGTGCCCTCACATCGTCATCATCATCATCATCCTTCACCGATCCCCTGATTACACCCACGTCTGTCCTCTGTTTCACCCGAAGACCACCCCTGCTCCTCACTGTAGTCCAACCCCACCAGTTATGGTGGCTGGGCTATGGTGCTGCCCTCAGCAGCGCCCTTCTTCCCTGCACGACCGCACGTGCTGCACCTCGCCTCTCAGCTCCAGCCAGCAGCCGCGAGCCTTTGCTCCAGCAGCGCTGTCGCCAGCATGCGAGTGCCTGAATGAGGCAGCCAGGGCAGAGATCTTTCCTTTATGGAAAGGGTTGGCCTGCTCGCGCAGCCTGGCTGCACTGGCCTGGACCCAGAAGCTTCTGGAAGGCCCCAGGAAGCTGCCTGTGTACAGCTGCTACTGGGCTGCTGGGCCTCGTTCGGTTGGGCGCCCAACTGTCTCTGTATGAGGCTGCGAATCACGCCCAGGGCCTGCATTCTTTGGAAAGGCCCGGAAGGCCGTGGAAATGTCTGTGTTGCCCGGCCTGAGTTTCTTTCAACCAACTAGCGCGTCGCAACAACTGGACCCCAAATATGAAATTGACAGTCAGAGGGCCTCAGGTGATTTGTTAGGCCTGCCTTCACTTAGGGCGGGCACCTCCGCCTTCACTTGGGGCGGGCAATGCTGCATATAGGGCCCCATAGGCCTGCCGAGGACCCAGATCCTCGCATGGGCTAAATTTTTGTTTTTTTGTGTGGTGCTTTGGATATATGGCCTGGTTTATCATCCGGATTCGTTCGTTATGAGAGCTTATGACATGAAGATAATGTAATGAACCCTTGTCGAGAAGATGCTTAAACACAGATGGTTTTACGACTCTCTCCTTTGGACAAGAACGAGTGTTCAAAACGGGAAATAATGTGAAGTTCTGGTTCTGTTGGTGGTGCATGCTTTTAGGCAATTGAAAACATGCGCAAGGATTGGGAATGATGCAATGCCTAACTGCATTTGACTGTGTATGCAGCCAATGGAAAAAAAAAAAAAAATGCAGTAGGGAGGGGAACAGGACAGGCATGTCTGCTCACGATCCCCAAGCTTCGCAATTGCAGTGGACACTCTGGTTTGAAAGTCTCGATCCCCAGGTGGGAAGGCAAACCCACACCTTTTTCCATCTCTTACCACTCGGAATCCGTTCCCACGATCCCCAGGTGGGGAGGCGAATCTCTGTCCAATTCTGCACAGCCTGAAACCAAAGCTCCGGTTCTCCTACCTTCTGCGTATCCTCTGTCCCCAAGTGGGGAGGCCAATTCCTGGCCAAAATTTTCCCAAATTTCGGTCTTTCTCCGAACCGGCGCGCGGCAATTAATGTAGGACTCCTATGCAGAAACATAAACTGAACAACAGGGCCCCATAGGCCTACCGAGGACCCTGATCCTCGCACTAGTGTTATGCAGAAAAATAAACTGAACAACTTTTGCTTCGAGGTCACATCGAAATTCTTTACCAAATTTAAAATAAAAAATAATTTCTATTTTTTTATTTTTTTTATATATTTTTGGCCCGGCCGGGAAAGTGGACCGGGGCCACTTTGGTAGACTAGATTATTAGATTATTAATTAGCAGATGCGTAAGGGGCCCCTTATGCAAGTGTGTCCCCTAAGTGAAGGCGGGCCTAACAAATCACGACAGGCTGAATGCTGTCAATTTCATATTTGGGGTTCAGGCAGTTGTGTCTCGTCAGTTGGTCGAGGGAACCCATGTCCCGAGCAGCAAATACTTTCCACGGCCTTCTAGGCCTTTTTCTGAAAGGCAGGCCCCGGGCCACATTCGCAGCAATATACACAGACAGTTGGGAGGCATAACTGAACGAGGCCCGCAGCGGAGGCCCAGCTACCTAGGGCCTACCAGAAGCTTCTGGGCGCAGGCCCAGCCCAGCCCAGCCAGGCCGCAGGCCAGGCCAGACTCTTTCCATACAGGAAAGAGTTCGCTGCCTGGCACGTCATTTGGGCACATGCTAGTTTGCGGCAGCGCTGCTGGAGTGAGTGCTCGCGGGCTGCTGCTAGCGCAGAGCATGGTGCAGCGCACGTGCTGAAACGGTATTCACCAGTTCGCAGTAGCTGATGCAGATCCCAGGGCTCGATCCCTAGTCTCCCACCTTACCTGTGTAAAGTACCTGTGTCAACCCGTAGAGTTGAACCTGCGCCCTGTAGGACCGCCCGTGGTAGGAAGGACGTCGTAGGTTACAGGGTATAGGGGATTCGAACTGTAGACCTGTCGGGTAGGAGTCTAGACAGTCCAGAGGTCTTAGCTGTAGACTTTCCGAAGGGTCAAAGTCGTAGCTGCTACTTACCTGAAAGGGCAGAGTCGTAGCTGCTACAGTACCGAAAGGCCAAGTAGATGTTTCTAGAAGTGGCCTTTTGGAGTCAGCCCAGTTTAGGTAGAGGCAAGTGGGCAAGTGGTGGAAGTCCACCACGCAGAGTCAGCAGTCCCAGTCCAGTCAGTCCGGTCCAGTCAAGCAAGTACCGTCTGGGACTGTGTGCAACGTGGGCCAGGGAGACAGGGCAGACCAACGAGTCACAGAAGTATAAATCAAGAGGCTGCGTCCAGCCATTCATTCATTTCCTGCGGAAGCTATGCGGAAGCGCTGCCTCAGCGTCTTGTGCGAGGAGGTCTGCACTGTGCCCGAAGTCGAAGTGGGCCATGAGCGTAGCATAGCGATAGGGTAGAGGCAGCCATAGCTGCCATAGCTGTAGTAGAGTGTGTGTATGTGGTGTGAGTGTGCAGAGTCTGTCTCTTATACACATCTGAGTGTGCAGAGTGATGCGTGTGGGATATCCAGGGTGATCCGGTGTGTGAACAGTGGGTTGTTGGGCGCTGAGTCGCCATAGCCAGTGGAAGTGAACTCGTACCTGGAAGCCATATCTC